GAAAGGAACTTGCTTTATGCTCAGTGGGATTTTCTGGGAAGATGAGCAACAACATAGGAAGAGATATCGTATACTATCAAGTCACGGACCCAAGTGACAATGCGTTAGACCCCAAACCAGGAACTTTGAGATATGGGGCTACCATGATCAGAGGGAAAAAGTGGATCACCTTCCAGAGGGACATGCGCATTAGGCTTGAGAAACCACTTCTCGTTAGTAGCTTCACTGCCATTGACGGAAGAGGTCCTAGCGTTCACATTGCTGGTAATGCATGCTTGGTGGTCTTTAAGGTACCTAATAAAATATATATGCGTCCAAGTGTTCATCTTATACATCAATTTTCTTCTGAATTTAGAGCGCGTTCATAGATGGAATTATTTTTCTTTTCCTTTTTGGGAAATTGGTAGATCATTTTAATATTTTTGGTTCGACCACAGACTATATCATGTTAATTCCCTAATGAATATTTTATACATATATATCCATCAGGCAAGCAATGTAATCATCCATGGCCTTCGAATCCACCATTGCCGTTCCCAAGCACCAAGCTTAGTTATGGGTCCAGATGGAAAGATAATGCCACTGGGGCAGGTTGATGGAGATGCAATCAGGTTGGTTACTGCATCATAGGTTTGGATAGACCACAATACACTGCATGAGTGCGATGTTACTCGTGGATCTACCGATATCACCGTCTCCAACAATTGGTTCAGAGACCAAGACAAGGTCATGCTCCTGGGCCACGCTGATGGCTATTTTCGGGATAAGAACATGAGGGTGACCGTAGTGTACAACCATTTTGGACCTAACTGCAACCAAAGAATGCCAAGGTACGTATTAATTAATGAGCTGCTTTTCGAGGGGCTTAATTAATTTACTGCTAAATAGGCTACCTTTACTTTTCAACCGCTCTCTAGCTATTACTATAAGCAAAGTACGTAATATATAATATATACCTGTACAGAACCTGAGTATTATGTATGCATGCAGGATTCGTTACGGATATGCTCATGTCGTGAACAATCTATACAGAGAATGGTCGAAGTATGCCATTGGGGGAAGCATGAACCCTAGCGTTAAGAGTGAAGCCAACCTCTTCATTGCACCAAAATCGAGAAACAATAAAGAGGTAATTAACTCAAATGTATATGTATTAAGAATATATATATATAGCTAGCTACTAATAATAAAGTTCGAATGCAATGCACAGATCACTTGGAGGAAGGACAGCATTGGAAACAAAGAATCCTGGAAGTTTTACTCGGTAGGAGATATCTTTGAAAATGGGGCTTCTTTCGTGGAAACAGGTGCCGGCAGAGCAAAGCCAAACTATAACGGAGAACAAACTTTCACAGTTGTTAATGCCAAAACTGTCCGCTCATTGACAAGGTCATCTGGTGCTTTAAAATGCATCAAAAGATCCAGATGCTAATTAAGTCTTACGCCCATCTTGCGATGTGGA